AGTACACTTCAGATAAAATGTAAATTTTATCTAGAAAGCATCAATTTCAATTCTTTATTCCAATAAAGAATTTTTATGTGAATAAATTGTATTTACTCAGATTATAAGTAGTACTAGATTTAAGATATGCAGTAACAAGTTCATGTTTTGTTCTTTAAATTTTTTTGTATGTGAAATATAATAGTTTCCTTGTTATGTGTTTTGGATATAATTCTTGTAAACATAACTTGGGATGTCTCATGAGCATAGTTAAAGATGATCTACTCAAAGTTAAACTGAGTATTGTATGTATCCTACCATGGTATATATTATTCTTTTTCTCTATCCTAGAGGTAGAACAATCATTCCAAATTTCAGTGAGTAATTTTGTATATTATGGATTAATTCAAAACTAGAGAAGGTTAACTTTTCCTTATTTTTTTTTAATTTTAAATTTTTAATTTTTTGGCACCTGGGATCGAACTGTGGTCCTTGTGCTTGTGAGGCAGGTGGTGGTGGCACTGAGCTAAATCCCTGGGCCAACTCTGAGAGGTATCAAACAACTGTGCTAAAGATATTGTATTCACCGTCATATCTTGTCCAAATCTTTTTTGTGGTACTGGAAATAGAACCCTGTAGTACTGTAGTACTGAACTGTTTCCCCAGTTCTTTTAATTTATTTTTATTTTGAGATAGGATCTTGCTAAGTCAACCAGGGCAGACATGAACTTGAGATCTTCTTGCCTCAGCCTCTTTCATTGCTTGAATTATGGGAATATACAACTGTTCCCATCTGCTTTTTCTTAAATCTTTATGTACTCCATATAATTTATGGTAATAAAAAAAAACCTTTCCATTTCCTTAGAAAATGGGGCTTTTTACAACGGTGAATAAACAGGAAAGATAATCCATTTCTTTTTTCTTTTTCTTTTGCTTTGTTTGATACCAGGATCTAACTCGGGTCCTTGCGCTTGTGAAGCAGGTCGTAAAATCACTGAGCTAAATCCATATGCCCTATCCTTTTGTTACTATTATACTTGATCAGTAAATCATGAATGGATAAATACCTTGGACCGAAGAATGTTGGAGATCTTAGTACAGTATAGAGAGTCCACTAAATGCATACACACTTCAGGAAAAATGAAAACTTTGTAAACATTTTAATAGTAAATTTATTGAGCCATCATTGATACAAGTTACTTTTGGCCCCTACAGTGACAAGAGGTGCTCAGGCGATGCCGGTTCATTTCCAGATGTTTATTAGTGTGGCACATTGCTGCTTGGGTGACCTTGGGCCGAGTGTCCGTTGAGATTGCTGCACATGCATTTTCAGTTTCTTCTCTAAGGGCCGGCAGTGTCCTGGGTGTTCTGTGGTATAGGACATCCTTTAGGGCCCCCCAGAGATGAAAGTCTGCAGGTGTTAAATCAAGAAAACATGCACCTTACGCAAGTTTTTCTTGTCCTGAATTGTGTATACAATTTTGGGTGGACTCTGTATTTGAAAAAGATGCTTTTCCAAACGTCTAGACCTGTTCAGGGCCCTTAACGACTCCTATTTTTCTCTAGTTGAATATTATTTAAATTAACCTGACCCTGGAATTTATTGAAAAGTTTGACTTCGGAAGACATTTGAATTTTAGTATTATCCGTCTTCTCATGTTGTGACAGAAAGGTTATTTCTGTGTTCTCTCCAGAGCTCCCTCCTTCTGTTTGGCTACTTACTGGACATCTTTCTAAAGTTAAGGTATTCAGACAAGGTCGTTTTAGGACCACTGGTATTTTTTCAGTGTGCTAAATTACTGTATATTCCCTGTGCTGGTCCTCCGTACGCTGCTCAGGAGTGGACAGGATTTCTGGCGGGTCCCGTCTGCCTGGTCTATACTGTCAGGGTCACAGGTTGCGAAGGCCCTGAGTGACGTGGCCTGGTGGAAGCTGGCCATTGTGTGAGAGAGCTGAGCGCTCTCTGCCTGATTGGGGGACAGGGACTCTAATCTGTGGAATGCTTTTCCCGAGTCATTTCCTCCAAGGGTGAGAACTCCGGTACCCATGTCTCAGCCGTGCTTCCTACCTGCTCATTTGTAGCCTTCTCACCGGTGGCGAATGGAGCAATGGAAGATGGAAGATGTTCCCTCATATTTCTTCTCTCCCAGACTACGTTTGATGAGTTCCAGTTCAGTTTTGCAGCTTCTGTTCTGTCGTTTGGCTTAGTGAAACTTAGAAGTCATGATGAGTCAGAGCCTTCTCTTTTAAGTAGATTTTAATACTACAACTGAGGAGTGCTTGCAGAGGATCGTGCATCGCAGAAGACCATGTTCAGGCTTTCTAGCGACACTTGTGACCACCAGGAGTGTGGTATGTGCTGGAATTAGCTCACAGTATGTATTTATGTCTCACTTTCTACTTTGCATGGCAGCTGGAGTTAGGGTTTTTTACTTGGCTTGAATTGTATCATAGCCCCCCGATTAAAATCTTTTCATGGTTTCAAGACAACGGTAGAAGAAAATGTAAACTCTTTTTTTAATGAAATTTAAAATCCTTAGCAGCAGGTATTGTTTCTGCCTTTTTCCTCCTTATATTACTTATTCATTATATGGAATTACTGAGACTTTCTCCCCCACTATGTGCATTTAGACTTGCAGGACTTTGCTGTTGCCTCTCCCCTGATTGCAAACCTGTTTGCATTCTGGCTTTTCTTGGCACATTCCTTTTTACAGGTTCTTTTTATTCGTGCATGTTTGCAGTGCGTAACGATTACACTCATCGTGAGAGTTGGTGCGTGTACCTAACGCATTTTAATTTTTCTTGTGTCTTCTTCCCTTACTCTCCACCTTCCCTTTTATCTTGGTCTTCATCCCTTTTGCAAAACATCTCCTAATTTCCGCTTATAGTATCCATCTTTAATTTTGCTCTTTATTTATACCTTGAGTTTTGCCTATAAGAGAAACCAGGCATTATTTAAACTGATATGTCTGATTTCTTTCACATAACGTTATGGCCTCGAGCTTCTTGATCCATCCTTAATCATTTTCATTAGCTATAACTCAGGAAAATCGTTCATAGCTAACCTTGTGTATGTAGCCAGTTCTTTTGAGTTCTTTGGAATTTTGATCCTGTTGTTATCCCTTGTAACACACCGTTTCATTCATTAGCCCAATGCTATTATTAAATTTTATATCCCTTCTTAGCCACTGTACTACATGTCTTTAACCTTGAAATACAAAATCCATTCCAAAAGTACTTGTAAAAATCTTTTACCAGTGATTAATAAAAGTAGGATATGTGTTGTAAATAGATACATAGCATCTCTTATTTAAGATTCATCTCCTAATAACTTAATGTTTGTCACACAAGTCCAGTAGATCACTAGTGGTTCTCTGGGCCCTTTGGAACTGTCTGTCTCTCAGGTGCTGGGATGGTTGTGACATTTTGTATGGTTGAGCTTTGTTGTTATTGTTAATCAGAACCCCACAGTTTAAAATTAAACTGGGTATTAAAGGCGGCAATTGAAAGCTGTTTGTCCTCCAAATGAGTCAGTGTGTGTTCCACTGGTGATTAAAATTTGTATACAGAGGGGCACTTGAGTCCCTACAAAGTGTCCTGGGGACCCCAAGGAGTGTATTGCAAAACAAGAAGTCATTTCATTTTTGTGACAGCAAATTAAATTTTTGAGAAAAACTTTTCACTTGCCGTGCACTTCCTAGTGACGTCTTTTCATTGATTATTTTTAAATTAAAAAGGAAATCATTTTTTTCACAAGCACATTTCTAAAAAGGTTATTATAAGCATATTTTTAAAATAGTGTAGTTTTCCAGTTGCTGAAATTTTGGGGTAATTATAATGGAACTGGAATAGGGAGTCAAGAATATACAGTTTTGCTTTTGAAAAAGATTTTAGGGCTTTGTTGCCTTCCACAAATCTTTGATGTACTGTTTTGCCTCTGACACTGGGCTTCTCTCTGTCATTGGACAGAATGTGACATTCATTCATATTCAGATCAGCAAAGTTTTGATGCTGAGAATGACAGGAGTTTAAAGGTCTGAAGTTTACCACCCCTCTGTCTGTTATTGCAGCGAATTCACCGGGTTTCTACACTCCGATCCCCATGGAAACTAAACAAATAAGCTACTTGAAAGGAAGACAGGTTATTGGTTTTTCTCATTAAAGCCACTGCTGGATTTTCATTAGTTGTAATACATTTTCTTTCAAGATCAGACACATAGGCCTGTTCTTATTTTCATGATTTGAATAAACTAAATGCTTTGACTTGTGTGTGCCTGTATCGGTTAAAAAAACAAAAGTAATCATCCTGCTTCTGCTATATAATCACCTCTGAAGATAAAACCAGGGCGAAAAAAGACTGGTAGAAAAGGAGGAAAGACTACTTCCATTTTATAAAACCGATTATTGAGTGAGGTAGAAGTGGTGAGAGTGATTAGAAGCTGATCTGATTTTCTGCTTAAATCATATGTGCGTGTATGAAAGTAATCTAAATAAAGTATGGAAGAGTATATATCGCAGACTTCCCACACTGAAGACCTTATAAAGTTCTGTGTTTCGTTTATTGCTATGTGTAGATTGCATAGATCTTTTCAAGGCAATGGATTTTGTGAGAGCTGAACATTATCTTTTTTTGGGAACTCAAATTACAAACCTGTTTTTCCTTCTTCCTGCTCTTTTCTCCAATAGAATTGCTACAATTTTTAAGATTCTAGGTGCTTGCTATGTATTTTTAGGAAAGCCCTACTATCTGTGTATCTTCTACTTCTTTCTTAATAATTCGCAGTCAGTGCTTCAGCCTCCCTTCTGAGACTCAAATTGGTTCCTTACTCAAATAGAATACGCTGATAGACATTTCTTTATGTGAAAATGTAATCAGAATAATGATAAACAGGAATACCACTGGTTGTTAAAATTATGTGTAGCACACATTTCAATCCACATTTCATTGGCTTCCTCAGTGCTTTCCCCATTTTGAGAACGCTCATTTTGACTGTAACAATGGACCTCTCTTTACTTTTCAGGTGGCTGTACTTTCGATGACGGTCCTGGGGCCTGTGATTACCACCAGGATCTCTATGATGACTTCGAGTGGGTTCATGTTAGTGCTCAAGAACCCCATTATCTGCCCCCAGAAATGCCTCAAGGTGAGCGCCCTGACTTTTCCTCAGTTTTGGGGGGATTGCTGCAGAATATGTAGCCTTCTCATATTAGATATGATAATAGGTACTAGTAAATAATATATCATAAGTTTTTTAAATAAGCTAATTCATTATACTGCTTTAGCCACATCTAAGAGCCTTAAGGTACTCTATGCCTTTCCCTTGATAACTCCTTATAACCACGCATTTTCAAGAATTCTCATTTTACTGTAGTTACATCTGTCTTTGCAATTTATTATAGTGTTTTTTCTACTTAATACTAAAGAGAATTATGGCAAAAAAAACCCCCAAAAAAGTACAAGAAATAAAATGTGCTTTAAACATATTAAAGGTGAGACTGATTCATCTGGTATCTTCTCAGTTCAACAGAGCATGTTTGATCCAGACAGGCTGAGGGGACAGACTGCCTTTCTGTGGTCTTTTCTCCCACCAGTCATGAGCACAACCATGCCTAGCAGGAAGGGTGTTTGGAATATTGTCAAAAGGAAAAGGTATTTTCTGAGTGAAGTATACAGAAGTAGGGCTGAGACCTGTTCATTACCTAGACCTTGTCTTAGCCCCTGGCTTTGGATTTCATGAGGAAATACATTTTCTGATTGTTTACCATAGTCTGCTTTGTATTTTCTCTTACTTGTGAAAAACAAACTTAATATATCAGTATTACATCCCATTTTATGTAATACTGGGCTAGTATTTGTGCTATTCTATATTATTAGTTTGGATGTAATTCTGATTACTATGTTTAGCAATAACCATTAAATAGTAAAAATTACAAATGTAACTAGGAATTTTAAATGCAATACTAAAGAGAACTAACTTTCCTTCCAGTGTTTAGAATGAAGCACATAATTAAACAAATAAATATAGAATATAATTATATTATATATAACTGTACATAAGATTTATGACTATTATGCTTTGGAATGTATAATCATAAAATTGACATTCTGAATTTCTAATACTAATGAAGTATGTTTTAAAACATATTTTAGTGTTTTATCTTGATGATGTAAAATTACTGATAATTTTTCAACAAATTCAGAAAGTCTGTCCGGAACTGAGCATAAATATTAGATATGACAATTTCAGACATAACCATTAGAAATGAAAATGTCAATTCTTGTGATTGACCAAAAATAAATTTATCAATAGCATCCTTGAATTTGCTAATTAATATGACACAAAAAAGAAAAAGCACCAACAATAAATAACAACACATGACAAATACACAAGGTAATTGAAATGTAAGGGGTTCATTCCCATTGTAAATGAATGTAGAAAACTCACTCTTTGGAAAGTTTTTTTCTTTTTATCAGTCTACCCTCTAATATGTGTGTGAATTAAATCTTTTACACTTTCCTTGGCCGAGTAGACAAATGGTTATTTCTGAGGATGGACTGCACTTTAATTTTCTTCTCAGAGGAATGAATCGGTACTTTGTGGCTGATGGACTTTGCTTCTTATGTTTCACCCTTACAGCATCAGCAGACTCACTTAGTTTTGTGCATAGGTTTCTGTTTTTCTTTCGAAGGCACATAACCTTATTTTCCTGGTGCATTTTAATTGAAGAAACTATTGTAATTTTTTAGATGAATTTTCTCGGCGGTATATTTAGACTGAATTTTTCATGTAAAATTAAAGAGAGTGGGCCGGAATGCACACATTCTGACGGTTTATCATCAGAGAATAATCAGGAAGACATTGATTTATGGAAATGTTGGCCTCGTTAATTGCCGTTGATGGTGGGTGATGAATAGCTGAGGAGCTGTGCAAGGCTGACCTCGCAGGCTCACCTTTGACGCCCAGCTTCCCTGGGTTACAGTCAAAGATGAGATGCACAGAACATGAAAGTGTTGAGTTTCACCCACGTCGTCCAATTAATAGGGCATTAAGTAATTAATCATGCGGAGATGGAGAAAGGTCACTGCAGTTTGTATTTGCTGAATGGAACTGTTTAGTCTGAAGGGAGGTGAGAAAGCACCTTTTTTCCTTCTCTATTTACAAGTGATACTATTTTTATGGTAATCCTTTAAAGTGCAGAGTGAACATTATCTGCACATAAATTGACAAAAGGAAACAATTAAATTTACTGTACTAACATTTTATAAGTAACCCTTTCTTTCTCAAATAAAAGGGCAGGCCTGTTTACTTTTTTTGTTTACTTAAGATACGAAGGAAAACAGAACAAAAATGCCTAATCACGTGGTTGCTGTCTCAGAAGTCAGTTAACTGCTGTCTGTTGACTTTTCTGGACTGGGAATCAGAGGAGAAAAAGGAAATCCTGGGTGGATGAATAGTTTAGAATAAAAGAAGGGTGAAGATGTGAATAAGGGAGGCAGAAAGGAATAAAATAATGTTTCCTCTGGAGGATATATAACACTATCACAAATTGCTTAAAATGCGCTGCAGCAGGTTCAAGCCCCATGCACTGCTTTGTTACATGATAGTGATGGTGGTAAAAGACCTGCTAGCTGCATTTAAAAAATAGCGTGCGAAAGAATGAACACTTCGTAATGGAGTACTTCTAATGGGCAGACATGATAATATAACTGTGTCTTCAAAATAGTCCTCAATACGGTGCAAATTAGAAGCCATAATGAGAAACTATTACACACGCAGAGGAAAGGTGACAGTCCTGAGTCCAGGGTTGGTGAGAAAAAGTGAATCGAGTAAAACCCTTGTACATTGCTATCACCGTGTCAATGTGTATGACACTCCTTGCAGTCTGCTGGCCGGCCAGTCCGCTCAGGAGCATGAGCCCAGTGGAACAGTGCTCACGTTCGCCAGAAGACACAGGCAAGGGGCTTTAGATCACCAGCATTTGTAATAGTCACAGCCCAAAGCAGCCCTCATTCCTAGTGCAGTGCACAACTAAGGGTGGAGTTTCCGTGAAACAGTCTTGTAGGGCAACATAAGCAAACAGTCATCTGCTGTACACAAAACCAGACACAAGAGAGTATCCACTTGCATAAATTCCTAAAGCAGGCAAAAGTCATTGAGGAGTTGGAAGTCAGGGACTGTCCTCTGCAGGGCAGGATGGGACCGAGCAGGCTCTGGATGCTGGTGGTGTCTGTTTCTTGGTCTGCATGGTGCGTTCATAGATACACTTTACTGTATAAACTTCATTGAGCCATCAGATGCTGAGTGGTGTGCTTTTCTGAGCTTCCTATGTATTACTCAAAAGTGACAAGCAATAAAACAACCGCTCACACAGTTACTATTGGGAAGCTACAGCAGTACTTGAAATGTTATACATTAAAATGAAAGATTTATAACAGGAAACTTCCAATGAGTCCAAACTCTTATTTTACTGTACGTTGTGTTTCGGATGAAAGGGTAGGGATCGGGATTGACAGTTAAGTGCATTTATCTTTCATTGTAATTATAACTGCTTTCCATTTTAGTAAGTTTTTATAAAATAATTAATTGAATTTTAATCTGGAGTCTCTAGAGTATTTGTTTGACGTATTTAAAAAATTATATTCTGCCTTCAAGGTGGTACTTTTACTGATAATAATATGAATCAAGGTGCAGAGTTCCCAGTTTAAAATGTGCACATTGTATAGGTTGTAAAATATAGAACACCTTGTCATTAAATTAACTTTAAGACTGAGGTGAGAAACTCTTTCTCCTCTTAGAAAATTTAGTGAGGTGTGATTCACTGGTGTAAGGTCCCAATGCACCTCAGTCCTGCCCTGTGTTAGGCTCCAAGCTAAACTTCAGGAAGCAAATGAGATTGCTTGGAAAAGGAAGAGAGAGTCACAATGTTCACAAGAAATGTGACTTTATATTAATTTGTTTTATTTTATTTTATTTTTGGTTTTGAGTATCAAACTCAGAACCCTATGCCTGCCAGGCAGTGCCACTGAGCTTACATCCCCAGATAACTTGTTACTTTTAAAAGTGACTATTGTTTTCTTAGATTTTAAGCGTGAATGATTAGCCAGGTTGTTACAATAAGTTTGTCTTCTTCAAATATTTATTTACTGAGATCCAGTGTGCTTCTGTTTTCAACAGGAAGCGGGCACGGGTCACATGATTTTGTATCTGGCTTTCTTTTAAGAGTGCAGTGTGGTGAAAATTAAAGAAAACATTAATCCACCATTGGAAGCATCTAACAGTTATGAGTAATAAAATTTCAGCTAAGTTTTCTACTCCATGGTACTAGCCTCTTAGTTTTGTAGGGGGTGATTATTTATTAAAATAAATGCTGTATATGTCATGCAGCATATTTGAAGACGTCTGAGAAGAAATTTAAAGGGAAGATTTGATGTAATCATTTGTAACCTACAGTTGTTTGTTTTCCTGGGATTATCAATCACTCATTAAAATTAATGGATCATTTTGCCTAGTAATGTCATGGTTTTTACAGAATAACTGCCGAAACTCTCACACAGCTTGAATTAATAGAATTATTTGACAACACTTCTGCCAGAAAAAAAATATGACAGAGAGCAACAGAATAAAGTTATGTGCCTGTGGTATGGCCATGAAAGTACTTGATATTATGGCGAGTTTTATTTTAGGGGATAGAGAAAATCAGGTAGACATGCTGTTTTATTGTCTTTTTTCCATCTAATTAGCATTGTCTGTGAACACATCCAAAATTAGTATATGCGTGTCTTTTAAAAATTAACGTATTAAATATTGAATTACTTACTTAGTAAAGCTACAATTATTTGGAAATACTTTACGATGAGTGTGTGCCGGAGTCCTGCAGATAGCAGTGGGAGAAGCAGGGCAGGGGAACCGGAGGCACGTGCGAAGGGTGTAACGCCAGTTAGTTTCGGAATACAGACGGGGTGACCCAGAGTATGGCTAGATGCCCAAGATTCCATCTGAGAGATACGTTTTGTTCAATAATGTTCATATTTTTAAACCAATAAAATTCTCTCTTTTGGAACAACCAGACCTTCCTAGCACTTAAGCCTATAAAAATCATCCACACAGCCAGTGGTCCCAGACCCTGCTTCCTTTGTTCCCCC